GTCACTATCTTGGCCCCCACATGTGGATATTTTTGGATTTTGGAGTATTCTGAATTTTGGAATTCTAGATAAACAATGCTCGACCTGTATCATACCACAAAAATTCATGAATAAATCTGTCTTATCTTTTACCTCCTTCAGATGCACCAGATGTGTGTCTCAATGATTTTTTTCCAGGTTCATAGCAATCCCTGAATGTTTGGAAAAGTGCATTGTTACAAGTTTTCATTTCAATTACCTGTGTTGCATGATGTATGTGTCTTTTCCTTATGTTTTTAAAAACAGGATATGTACTTCAGCACAAGGAAATGTAAAAATGAATACCAGGCCCCTATCAAAACAACCCTTGCTTTTACCTTTTCCCACCTAGAATACTTCTATATGGAGCGGATGTATAAATACTTACAGCATGATCCTTTCTTAGTTTTATTTCTATGTACAATTACATTACTGTATCTAAGGGAGGGAGACCCTGGGGAGTGATTATTTTTGTTGAGCCATGTTTGCTAAAACGATGCCTCTGAGACTAATTACTGCATAAGGTTGTATTACCTATGGTCGCTTCTACGCTGCCCTATATCCCAGAATCTGATCACAGATTATCAGATTTAAACTGGATTATATGAGTCTCCACTGCCAGATCATTTGAGATAAATAATCTGGAATCAGATCCTGGGATATAGGGGCAGTGTGGAAGGGGCCTAAAATGCTCATATTCTTCTAGGATCAATCCTACAGGTCAAAATATGGGCTGATTTCTTACTACAGTTGAAACCCACACCTTTGGAGACTTATGTATTTTGGACTACTATATTATCTCTTATTAGGACATTGTATCAGTAATCAGGGTTGCCTATTTTTATAGTCCTTTCTTCTTCTGTTTCCCACCTACACCAGCCTTTCCTTTGCTTTCCCTCCCATACCTTCCCTCTTCTTTCTTTTTCTTCCTTCCTTCTTCCTTTTTTATCTCTCCTCGTCCTTCTTTCTCTTCCCTTCCTCGCATTCTCCCATTCCTTTTCTCCTTTCCTTTCTCTTCTTTCCATCCTTTTCTCCTTTTCCTTTCTCCCTGCTGTGGTGACACAATGGGTTAAACCGTTGTTGAATCTGCTGACATAGAGGTTGGTAGTTCGCAGCTACAGGTTGGGGTGAGCTGTTAGTCCTAGCTCCTGTCAACCTAGCAGTTCAAAAACATGCATATGTGAGTAGATCAAAAGGTATTGCTTTGGAGGGAAGGTAAGAAAGGTGCTCATGCAGCCATGCCAGTAACACAACCAGGAGGTGTCTACATGCTCCTCAGCTTGGAAATGGAAAAAGAGCACCTTCCCATGGCCAGAGTTGAGCACCTCCTCCAGAAAGCCAGAGATGAAAGGGGAAGGCTTTACCTTTGTTCTGTGTATTTGTATGTCATTGTTATTATACTGTATTAAATGCACTGAATGTTTCCTAGAGGTGATTAGCTGTCCCTGATTGTTTCCTCTCTGGAGTTTCCCTGTGTTTGAGTGTTGTCTTGCTGTTATAATTTTAGAGGATTTTTTAAAATACTGGTGGCCAGATTTTGTTCATTTTCATGGTTTCCTCCTTTCTGTAGAAATTGTCCACATGAATTTCAATGGCTTCTCTGTGTAGTCTGACATGGTGGTTGTGAGAGTGGTCCAGCATTTCTGTGTTCTCAAATAATATGCTGTGTCCAGGTTGGTTCATCAGGTGCTCTGCTATGGCTGACTTCTCTGGTTGAAGTAGTCTGCAGTGCCTTTCATGTTCCTTGATTCATGTTCGTGTGCTGCGTTTGGTGGTCCCTATGTAGACTTGTCCACAGCTGCATAGTATACGGTAGACTCCTGCAGAAGTGAGAGGATCCTTCTTGTCCTTTGCTGAACATAGCATTTGTTGGATTTTCTTAGTGTGTCCGTAGATAAGTTTGTATGTTGTGTCTCCTCATCAGCTTCCCTATGCGGTCAGTGGTTCCCTGTATGGCAAGAACACTTTTCTTCTGGGTGGATCTTTTTCTTTACTTTTGTGGTTTGTTCAGTCTTGCAGTTCTTCTGATGTCTGAGTTGGAGTATCCATTGGCCAGTAAAGCCCAGTATACTGTATATACTTTGCATTTTAGATAGCTAGATGTTATGGTAACCTCCCAACACTTAAAGCTTCCATGGGGGATAGTTTATCTTCATCTTAGCACAAGCATGGGCCAACTTGGGTCTTCCCTCCAGTTGTTTTGGACTTCAGCTCCCACAATTCCTAACACCCTGGAGAGAAGGCCCAAGTTGGCCCATGCCTGCTCAAGGCTGTGCTAAGATTCAAGCAGCTGCAGTCAAACTGGCTACCATTCAACTTCAATTATTTATTATTTATTTTATTTACAGTATTTCTATACTGCTTTTCTCACCCCTAGGGGACCTCAACGCGGTTTACATATAACTTGCAAAAATTCAATGCCATACATTGGACACTGACACGATGCCAATCCATAACAACCACAATAATAAAACCACAATCAAGCACAAATCATAATTAGACAGTACATAAGCAATCTTTTTCTTTTGTCATGTGAGGAGCGACCTGAGAAACTGCAAGTTGCTTCTGGTGTGAGAGAATTGGCTGTCTGCAAGGACGTTGCCCAGGAGACGCCCGGATGATTTGATGTTTTATCATCCTTGTGGGAGGCTTCTCTCATGTCCCCGCATGAGGAGCTGGAGCTGATAGAGGGAGCTCATCCGTCTCTCCCCAGATTCGAACCTGCAACCTGTCGGTCTTCAGTCCTGCCGGATAAGCAATCATTAAAACAATAAATAATAAAAACAGTCTCGCCAGTTGTATTGTCATTCCAATCCATGCCCTTTAAACTCTACATACATCTACTGTCCGAAGGCCTGGTCCCAAAGCCATAATTTTAATTCCTTTCTAAAAGCTAGGAGGGAGGGAGCAGATCTTACCTCATTTGGGAGTGTGTTCCATAGGCGAGGGGCCACCGCCGAGAAGGCCCTGTCTCTCGTCCCCGCCAGACGCATTTGCACAATTGATGGGAGCGAGAGCAGGGCCTCCCCGGATGATCTCAGATTACGAGATGGGACGTAGGGGTGGATGCGTTCGGACAAGTAAGCTGGGCCAGAACCGTATAGAGCCAACACTTTATTTATTTATAACTTTTATATACCGATCTTCTCACCTCCAACGAGGGACTCAGGCCGGTTTACAACAAGGGGGTTCATACACAATAGTTTAAAAACATCACATCAATAATACAGTAATATAAACCCATTAAAGTACTATAAAATAATTATATAAAGCCAAGTCGTTCGCATAAAAAATCACGATTCATCCCCATCCGTCCATGTGGTCAAAAGCCATTGCCTCACTCATCAAATGCCAGATTCCAAAGCCAGGTTTTCACCAACTTTCTGAAAGTCAGGAGGGAAGGGGCAGTTCTAATCTCCAATGGGAGAGAGTTCCAGAGCCGAGGGGCCACCACCGAGAAGGCCCTGTCCCTCGTCCCCACCAGACGCGATTGCGAAGATGGTGGGACTGAGAGCAGGGCCCCTCCAGAAGATCTTAACAACCTTGATGGTTCATAGGGGAGAATCCGTTCGGACAGGTAAACTGGGCCGAAGTCATTTAGGGATTTATAGCTCAACACCAGCACTTTGAATTGTGCTCGAAGCTAATTGGCAGCCAGTGGAGCTGGCACAACAGAGGAGTAGTATGCTCCCTGTACCCCGCTCCTGTTAGTAATCTGGCTGCCGCTCGTTGGACTAATTGCAGCTTCCGGGCAGTCTTCAGAGGCAACCCCACGTAGAGAGCGTTGCAGTAGTCAATACGGGATGTAACCAGAGCGTGGACCACCGTGGCCAAGTCAGACTGGCACAACAAGGGGGTGGTATTGCCCCCTGTATGCTGCCCCAGTTAGTAATCTGGCTGGTGCCCGCTGTACTAGCTGAAGTTTCCGAACCGTCTTCAAAGGCAGCCCCACGTAGAGCGCGTTGCTGTAATCTATTCAGGATGTAACCAGAGTGTGGACGACGATGCTTTCTCATGTAGAATCATAGAATCAAAGAGTTGGAAGAGACCTCATGGGCCATCCAGTCCAACCTCCTGCCAAGAAGCAGGAATACTGCATTCAAATCACCCCTGGCAGATGGCTATCCAGCCTCTGTTTAAAAGCTTCCAAAGAAGGAGCCTCCACCACACTCAAAACACCCTCGACAGATGGCCATCCAGCCTCTGTTTAAAAGCTTCCAAAGAAGGAGCCTCCACCACACTCCGGGGCAGAGAGTTCCACTGCTGAACGGCTCTCTCACAGTCAGGAAGTTCTTCCTCATGTTCAGATGGAATCTCCTTTCTTGTAGTTTGAAGCCATTGTTCTGTGTCCTAGTCTCCAGAGAAGCAGAAAACAAGCTTGCTCCCTCCTCCCTGTGGCTTCCTCTCACATATTTATACATGGCTATCATATCTCCTCTCAGCCTTCTCTTCTTCAGGCTAAACAGCCCAGCTCCTTAAGCCGCTCCTCATAGGGCTTGTTCTCCAGACCCTTGATCATTTTAGTCGCCCTCCTCTGGACACATTCCAGCTTGTCAATATCTCTCTTGAATTGTGGTGCCCAGAATTGGACACAATATTCCAGGTGTGGTCTAACCAAAGCAGAATAGAGGGGTAGCATGACTTCCTGTGTCTTAATGGGTTATAACCCTTTCATCCAAAGCCTTTGCTCAATCATTGCTAGACTGGCAATTTTTTTTTGTCCTGTCACCACAACTCCCATGATCCCATATAGCCATGAGAGGGAAGGCCCTGCCCATCCTCCAGCGAGGTTGAAAGGAGGCAAACAGCAGCACGAGGGAGTGAAGGAAAACCTTCTAGTGCGCATGCGCAGCCGCCTTCCCTCCAGCGCGCGCGCCCAACGGTCCAATGATGACGAGGGGAGGCGTTTCACTTCCCCTTCCCCCCACTTTCCACCCGAACGACGGTTGGTTCTCTCGCGCAGGCGCAGTCGCCGCCCGGCTCGCGTGACCTCCTTGCCCGCTGGTAGGCGGAGGCGGGGCGCCAGAGCGGAAGTTTCCATCTTTGGCTCCGGCGAGGAAGGAAAGAAGGAAGGAAGGAAAAGAGGGGGCGCTCTCGGGGTCCGCAAGCGAAGGGGGAGAGGAGGATGAGGCCGGCGCTGGCGTTGCTCTTCTTCCTGGCGGTGGGCTTGAGCGGGGCCTGGGCCCAGCCGGGCGGGCTGCCGCCGGGGAAGAAGCTACGCATGGCCTACGCGACGGGCCCGCTCCTCAAGTTCCAGATCTGGTGAGGAGGCCTCAGGGAGAGGGAGGGAGGGACAGCCAGGCAGGTCGGGAAGAGCGGGGGAGAGAAAAGGGTAACATTATGGTGGGTGGGTGTTTTGAGAGGAAATCTTGAGGTGAGGAAGGAGGAAAGGGCCTGCTCTGTCAAGAGCGGGGGGGGGGGGCAATTAGACCAAATCAAATCGATAAGAAATACTCTTTTAAGTAATCAGTGCTGGAGGGGCTGTCGAGAAACTGGTAATACATATACATGTGGTGACCTGGGAGTCACTCTGGACCGTGCTCTGACCTACAAGAAGCACTGCCTGAACATCAAGCAAAAAGTGGGTGCTAGAAACAATATCATACGAAAGCTGACTGGCACAACCAGACAGATTTGTGCTTGATTGTGGTTTTATTATTGTGGTTAATGTATTGGCATCCAGATTACTAACTGGGGTGACATACAACACCCCCTTGTTGTGCCAGCTCCACTGGCTGTCAGTCCATCTCCGAGCCCAATTCAAAGTGCTGGTTTTGACCTATAAAGCTCTATACGGTCCTGGCCCAGTTTACTTGTCCGAACGCATCCACCCCTACGTCCCATCTCGCAATCTGAGATCATCCGGGAAGGCCACCTGAAGATCGCCTGGGAAGGAATCCCACTGGAGCATTGCAGCACACCCAAATACCTGGGAGTCACTCTGGACCGTGCTCTTACCTACAAGAAGCACTGCCTGAACATCAAGCAAGAAGTGGGTGCTAGAAACAATATCATACGAAAGCTGACTGGCACAACCTGGGGATCACAACCAGACACAGTGAAGACATCTGCCCTTGCGCTATGCTACTCTGCTGCTGAGTATGCATGCCCAGTGTGGAACACATCTCACCACACTAAAACAGTGGATGTGGCTCTTAATGAGAAATGCCGCATTATCACGGGGTGTTTGCGCCCTACACCACTGGAGAAATTACACTGCTTAGCCGGTATTGCACCACCTGACATCCGCCGGGAAGTAGCAGCCAATAGTGAAAGGACCAAGGCAGAGACATCTCCAGCTCATCCCTTGTTTGGGTATCAGCCAGCACGTCAACGACTTAAATCAAGAAATAGTTTTCTCAGATCTACAGAGACACTCGCTGGAACACCTCAGCAAGCGAGAGTCCAAAAGTGGCAGGCTCAAACCCAGAACCTCAACCAGTGGCTGATACCAAATGAGAGACTCCCCCCTGGGCACACAGAGGACTGGGCAACTTGGAAGGCGCTGAACAGACTGCGCTCTGGCACCATGAGATGCAGAGCCAACTTTCAGAAATGGGGCTACAAAGTGGAATCCTCGACATACGAGTGTGGAGAAGAGCAAACCACTGACCACCTGCTGCAATGCAACCTGAGCCCTGCCACATGCACAATGGAGGATCTTCTTGCAGCAACACCAGAAGCGCTCCAAGTGGCCAGATACTGGTCAAAGGACATTTAATCAACTACCAAACTCACAAATTTTGTATTTTGTCTGTTTTTTTTTTTGCTTTGTTCTGTTAGAAATGTAATATAATCGACTGGTTGCACTGACACGATAAATAAATATGTGGTGATCTTGTAAATATGTTCAAAACATTTGGGAAAACGTATTTCACGAAATAGGGGAATCGCCAAAACAGAGATAACAGGAATGCCTGAAATAGCACTGCTGACGTTTATCAATACTATTGAAATATCAAAAGAGGTAAATGAATTAATTGCCAACCTGGTAACGGCAGCAAGATTGTTAATAGCCAAAAAATGGAAAGAATGCTGGGGGGTGAGGGGTGGGAGTATAGGGCAGGCATGGGCAAACTTGGGCCCTCCTGGTGTTTTGGAGCGGCTGAGGAGGGAAAGAAAGGGCTGCTAGGAATTATGGGAGTTGAAGTCCAAAACACTTGGAGGGCTCAATTTTGCCATACCTGCTATATTGAGATTTGGGATATTGCAGTAAACAATAAATTGACATGTAATAGTAAGATTAAAAGAGGGTTTTCAGAATTAATATTTTTGAGAAGATGGGGAAAACTTGTAGAATTTGTATGACACACACACACACACATACACCATATTTATATCCTGCCCTCTCAATCCTGACGTACGTTACATACAGTAAATATCAAGCAAATAACAAATATACATTAAAGTCCAGGCCATTCCCATTATCATTGCACTATTCCATGTTCACATAATGCACTTCATCCAAATGCTTAGTCCCACATCCAAGTTTTCATTTTTTTCCTAAAGGACAGGGGGGGGGGGGGAATCTGATGTCACTATGGCAGTGCTTCTCAACCTGTGAGTCCCCAGGTGTTTTGGCCTACAACTCCCAGGAATCCCATCCCATTTACCAGCTGTTAGGATTTCTGGGAATTGAAGGCAAAAAACATCTGGGGACCCACAGGTTGAGAACCAGTGCACTAGGGAGTAAAGTTGTGTGTCATTTGCGTAGAGGTGACACCCAACTCCAAAACTCACTAGGGAGAGAGTTCCACAGTGGAGGGGCCACCACTGAGAAGGCCCTGTCTCTCATCTCCACCAACCATACATATGAAAGGTAAGGGGAACAAACCTGTAATAGAAAGAATGGAATTTTGGAAATAAGTATTGTCACTGGCGGGTCTGGAGTGAAGGGTCAGCACTATGTAAATGGTAAACTGACTAATTATTATTGTTATTACTCAGCTGTCATCGAACCATAAGGAGAAGCAGGAAAATAATTTTTATTTTTATTATTTGTTACCTTACTCTCTTCACAGTTCAAGACAGGGTTCAGCAATGTTAAATGACATAGATAAAATAAAGGACCATAAAAATACATATATTAAAAACATAGAGGGGAAAAGATTGAAGCACAATACTAATACAATGTAAAGTTAAGATTCATGGTTTAAAATTAACTGGGTTGCTTTTCAGATGACATAGGTCTTTAATTCTGTGTTAAATTCTCACAGTTTATATAGCTCTCAGATCTCTTCCAGCACATCATTCCATAGCTTACTCCCATGATTCCTCAGCACTGAGCCATTACAGTTAAAGTGGTGCCAAACTGCATCAATTCTACGCCTTGAGGGTGGGATTATAACATGGATGGTGCATTTCTCAAGACACAGATTTAATTGTTGGCTGTTCTCTTTCCCTCCTTTCCCCGAAGGAATGGCTTGTACATTAATGGTTGATGAAAATGCTTTCAAAGTATCACGAAACGTAGCTGAGGTCAGATAATTTGGGGGAGGCAGGAATTAGTGATGAGGAATAGTGGAAATTATCCGGGAAGGATGTTACGACTCCATATTCACATAGACCCTGCGTGCACATACATTTATTGCAAATACAGGGTGAGGATCTCTACCTGGGATTCTGAAATCTTCCGGAATTGTCCACATATTACCAAGAGGATTATTCAGTTGGTAGTAACCACATCCTCATAATATGCAGCCCAAGCAGTGTACAGGTAGTACCCGAGTTACAAACATTTGACTTACAAATGACTCATAGTGAAGAAAGGCGATGCGGCAACAGGAAGTGAGAGAAAGCTACTCTTGGGAAGGGAAATTCACTCCTGAAAGAGTTATGGGGAAACGGTGTCTCTACTGAAGCTTTCTCACCAATCCTTGTTTCCACAACAGGCCAGATTTTTCAAAATCCAATGATCACAGGGATGGAAAGTGAGGTGAAATGTTTTGAACAGGGGCACAGACAGCAAAACAAGCACCAAGAGGGTGTTAACTCATTTGACTGGTGTTATACTTTAAAAAATACCTGTTATGACTTACATACAAATTTAACTTAAGAACAAACCTACAGAACCTATCTTGTGTGTAACTTGGGGACTGCCTGTATTTCTGAATAAACATACTTAAGATTGTATTGTATTTCAGCTACTAATGTGGACTTCTTGAGGTGCATCTACACTGTAGAGTTTATACAGTTTGCTAGAAGTTTAATTGCAATGGCGTGGAACCATGAGAGTTGTAGTTTTACAAGGTCGTTAGCTTTGTCTGCCAAAAAGACTACAAATTCCAGAATTCTATAGCATTGATCCATGGCAGTTAAAGTGGTGTCAAAGTTCATTAATTCTACAGTGTAGATGTATCCTAAGTCACAGTCTGCAGTTTTTAAGGTGCTTCAGTGTGACAGTTCTAAGGTCCCAAGTTACTTATAAGAATTAAACATTACTGTTTGAATTATCTTGCTTCATTTTAAAGTTATTATTTTTAAAGAAATACATTTGTTTGTTTTTTTAATGATGTTTTACTCTGAATATGAATTACAGAGTTGGAATGAAAAATGGAACATGGAGTTTTAAATTTCAGTGCTTGCTTCTAGAAGTAATTATTTAATGAAGTGGTATTTGCATTTCAAAGCTGAAGCATATTTGGTAATAGTTATACGTCTAGTTCAAAGTTCAGCTTCTTCCCTACTCTTTAATTGCATAAACTTTCCACAGTTCCTTCGTAAAATCACTTGTTTATGCTGCTTGTATCCTTTAAAATCAACAGTGTTTCCACCTATTTGTTACTATTTTTAACAGGCGTTGTTTCTCTTCAGTACTGGTGTTAACATCAGCATAGCAACACACCACAGTTGGGACCAAAGGGGGGTGGGGGAAAGCAGAGAGAATTTCATGTTGCTTTTCAATGCTCACTGTTTTATTAAGATTTGTGAGCTGCAGTAGCTGTTCAGGTCTGAGCAATAATTTCATACATAAACTCTTCACTTGTACAACTTTTACAAATAGGCTGTGGATTATTTTTTAAATCTTACAGTTCTTTTTAATTTATTTCATAGTGAAATTTTCTTATGGTTGAAGAGTACTACAGGAAGTTTTTGTTGAAATTATGTACAACATCTTCCTCATCTGTGTGCGTTGGCACTCTCATGCAAATTTTCTATATCAACATCAAAATAAAATGTGTTTTCTTTTCCTAGTGTCTCACTTTGTCCTAATGAACGTTGCTACTAAATTCCATAGACAAAATTGGCCCCTTCTTTGTACTTGGGTTTTAGAAGAAAGTTGGCTACTAGAGCAGGATGTCAGCAGGTTTGACTGGCTGACTCTTGTTGCTACTCGTTATTGCAACACACTTGTATTTCCTAAGATACTTGCATAATAAACCTGCTCAAGAGCAGTCATTTGTTGTTTTATAACTTCATCTGCTTTCATGGATCTGAAATATACTTGTAGAGGGGAAATATAAGCAGACGGGTTAACTTATATTGCAGACTTGGTTACAATTGAAAATGAGAATTAAACATTTGATATTTCTCTATTCCAGTTTAAAATTAGATTAAATTTTCCTTTATATGTTGCTTTTCCACACCAAAAATTGTGCTTGGAAGTGTATCGCATTCTTTTGTGCACATGGGTATATGTACATGCACATGAATGTGAACATTGGATTTTAAAAAGAGCTTTCACTGATTGGAGAGTGTGGAGAGAGAACTAAGATGTAAGGCAAGTTATGATGACAAATGAAAGTTTTTACATAGATGAGAATGGTAGGCTTAAAGCAGTAGATACACATTCCCTAAAATCTTATATTTTATTATGAATAATTAAACTCACTATTTGTGGTAAAGCTTTAATTGTGATAAAATATTTTTCTCCAGTGTTTCCTGAGGATACAGGCGGGTGTTTGAGGAGTACATGCGGGTTATTAGCCAGCGGTACCCAGACATCCGCATTGAAGGGGAAAACTACCTTCCTCAACCTATTTATAGGTGAGTTACTTATGTGTTAAAATAGACTAAATGTTGGAGTGTGGTGGAGTCTGTGGAGGTTTTTAAGCAGAGGCTGGGTGGCCTTCTGTCAGGGGTGCTTCGCTTGAGCATTTCTGCATGGCAAGAGGTTGGACTGGATGGCCATTGTTCTTTCTTCCTACTCTTTGATTGTATCTCCAATAGTTTGAATGGATTATATTCTAAAACATGAAGAATAATCTTACTTGGTTCTAGTGGCCACAGTTGAATTTTATCAGTACATCAGTTCATGTGTCTTGGTACATCACTTCCAGTCATATTTGCAAGCAATGATATAATACTTTTGCCAATGATAGAATATTAAAAAAAATAATTTTGCTGTAGAAGGGATGATGATGCGAAATCCCCCAAAGAATGGCACTTATTGATTTGTAACCAATATAAGAAGTAGTGTCCTTGATGATGATGATGATGATAATGATAATACTACTACTAATAATAATAACTTTATTTTTATACCCCACCTCCATTTCCCCGAAGGGACTCGGGGCGGCTTACATGGGGCCAACCCCCACAGTGCAGTTAAAACATAACACATTAAAAAGCATGTCAACAAAATAATAACAAAATGCAATATAACAAGATAAAAACAACAGCATTAAGCAATATATAAAACAAACATCAGAGGCAACAACCAATAGTAAAATTCAATGTCTCATTGTGGGTGGGCGGACTGATAATTCTGAAATTACACCTACCCATTAGCGCTTGTAAATTTAAATGTACTCCAATTAGTTTATTTTGAGGAGGTGAAAACCAGAGATGTGCAGTGAAGTGTGCCATAATTTTTGACTTACTGATATATTTTCGCTCCCCAAAGATGTCATGTTTATTGATTGATTTATCTTTTCTTTTACCAGACATATAGCATCTTTCCTGTCAGTCTTCAAACTAGTGTTAATAGGCTTCATTATTGTTGGCAAGGATCCTTTTGCTTTCTTTGGCATGCAAGCTCCAAGCATCTGGCAGTGGGGCCAAGAAAATAAGGTACGTCTTTCTCTTAACTGTATACACATTAAAATATCTTGGGGATAGGCAGCTCATGGAGGAGGGCACACATTCCACCCTTGCGCTCAAAGCATTTCCTTTGGACATTGCGATAGAATTGTTAGTAAATAAATGACAAAATGAAGAAAAATATTCTGATCTCACATGTTTCTTATACAAGCTACAGTCTTGTATTTTAAAACTGAACTAATCTTTGGCATTGAGAACTTTTGGTGTTGTTTTTTGTATCTTAACTGATATTGCCATTGTTTTATATGTGATGTAATTTTACCTCTATTTTTATGTGTTATGGTACTTATATGTGCTTCTGTAAACCACCCTGAGTCCTTCTGGGAGATGGTGGCGGGATATAAATAAATTGTTGTTATGTTCCTAATTTAAGAGATGTAAGGAAAATTGATTATTTTTTTATTAAAAATTCATAAAGAGGGAGAATGCCAAATATTGCTGCTGGTTGATCACTTGATTATACATGAAAACTAAGAAATGTGTTACATGATTTCAATATAGTAACATAGGATAATGTTAACTTTTAGGTCTATGCTTGTATGATGGTGTTCTTCCTTAGCAACATGATTGAGAACCAGTGTATGTCAACAGGTGCATTTGAAATAACTTTTAATGGTGAGTTGTGAAAAGCATTTGTATCATCCAGATTTTAAATGGATTTGTACTCATCATTAAGGTTTCTGTGAAATTACTGGTTGCATTTGGATACAAAGAGCACATCTACACAGCCCCACAAAATTCAGGCCCTCTCACATGCGACACCTCAGGTAAAAGCAAATTAATTTGGGACAAAGCTGGAAAGCCCTTCTTTGTTCCAAATTAATTAGGTACTGGATTAGACCCAGGTCTTCTTGAAAGACCCGGGTCTAATCCAGTATGGACCCTGTTTGGACCGCCCCCTTGGTAGTCCTGGGACTGCTGAGGGGGCAGTCCGCACAGCTGAATCAGCCCAGAAAACCCCAAGGGCACCAACCCCCTCCCCAGAAACCCCTTAAAACCCCCTCAAAAAAAGAGAAAGTAACTTACTAGGCTGCCATTACATTGCTGCCAGAGTTCTCCTGGCACAAAGTCTACGTGCCAGGAGAGGGCTGGCAGCAGGGAAATGGTGGCCGGATTAGTTATTTTTGGGGGTTTTGTTAAGGGGTCTAGGGGGGAGTGTGTGGGTGTCTCCCTGTCCTCCTGGAACTTTCTGGGAGGGCGTCTAGACACCCTCACCAAAAGTGTGGGTTTTTCAAGACAGTGTGGGGACAAAAGTCTGCCTTGGCTCAGATGTTTTAAACCCGTGTTGGAGCGGACTTTTCCCCTACGTGGAACTGGTCTAAGACCAAAATAGAAAGCCTTTGTGAACTATAGCCCCTCTAGCAAAAGATGGACATGGAATGAGCCCTAAATTTTCTCAAATATTTCAGAACGTGTGGTGAGTAAAATGATAGCAATATGATACTGTCATATTGCCTTCATTTTGGGAGAAAAATGATATGCTCTTATTTTATGTTAAAAAGGCCACTCTTGTATTATTATCTTGTTTGATAACAAGGCAATAAGATCTTGGAACATGAATTCTTCATAGAAAACCTTGTGCACAGAGCCATCTTTCGAAAATAATGAGCTGTGAATTTATTAGAAATATTATCTGATAGTTTCTATTTTAGTTAATAGATTTATTTATTGATTGATTTATTTAATGTTGCCCTCCCGGAAGGGGACACAAGGTAGTTTAAAAATGTATAAAGACAAGATTATTTTAGCGTGAATCACTGAGCTGAAAACTTCTTCTGAACTTTCCCCAACAATATCTGTATGAGAGAGCAGAAATAGGAATACCACCTGTAAACTTTATTAACAAATAAAAACACCCAGGAACCGTATCTATTATTGCAGAATAAGTAAAATGATATATGTTTTTCTGCAGTAAGAAAGTATGAAGTATGTGATCAAGGTAAGAATGAAATTTTAGTTAGTAAATTCTTGCTTAGTAATACAACATTCCAAAATGTAATTAGCTGCTTTCAAATATTTGTAATGACTTTTACTTATGAAGGGCTTGGTGAATATATGACCATAACTATCTGTTCCAGGATTTGTTTTGTTTTTTTCTTTGCAAATATTGTATCAATGTGCCAATTACACATTTTCCTTTTTCTTCCGTGCCTCTTACTAGATGTTCCTGTGTGGTCAAAGCTGGAGTCTGGACACCTTCCTTCCATGCAACAGCTTGTTCAAATCCTTGATAATGAAATGAAACTCAACGTGCATATGGAGCAAATGCCACATCATAGATCATAGCCCCATCTATCAGTACTGAAAACGTCTTGTAAGTTTACATTGAAGATTGTTCGGTTACTAATTTGATTTTTTTTAAAAAATATAGTAAATCATACAGCATTAAAGAACTAAGCTTCCACCTGGAAATTTTGGAAACTGTGATAAATTAGATTTAGATGTTAAGTTTTCTAGATATCCACCAACCTGCCTAAGTGATGCGTATCTTAGCAGCAAAATAGCATTTACAAGTATTCATATTAATAAATATTGCAGCATATATTTCAAGATCTGTGTAACCTCTTTTCTTGGACAACAATTGGAATATAATAGTTTTGGGCAGTTTTCTTTGATCTTATTTTGTGGGATTACTTGATAAGTTTGTCTTCCTGTGTTTTCAGACATTAAGAGACAGTTTTGAAAGGCAACATGAACGAAATAATGAAGGTCTGTACTGAAGACAGCATGCTGTTGGTGCAGACTGGATACTTCTCCTCGCCTTCATGTTGTTGTTCCTGAAAATCTTAATGCAAGACCACTTTTCAGTACTGGTATGTTTCCAAATACTGCACATTCAAGAAGTGCAATAATACTGTATAGATTTTTTTTACAAAAAAAAAGTTAATTCAACCAGTTCAGCACTAGACAATATAGTTATTATCGGATTACAACTTTTTGTTTGAGATTGAATCCCGCTAAGTTAGTTGCCTTCACATCCCACTGAAAATCAGTGAGGCTTACATGCATCTAACTGAGCCTGGCTCTAATCCTTTATATTCGTGTTGAAGAAGATGATTGAATAAGTGAATATACATATTTTTCCTGAAAAAAAGATGTCTGATCTGCTTTATGTGGAATTCATGTTCTATTTGTGGAGCTCTAGGAGTGCTTTTAAACTAATTTGGATGGTAATTGTTGGCTGTCAAACATTGCTCATTTGGTTATGTAAGTTTTGTATATTTTTCAGAGTATATTGCTGAGTGAATGGTGCATTGTATACTAAATTATATAAACAAAATTATATGCAGAGTTAACTACCCTCAACACCTGACTTCAAAGAAGACCAAGTGCTGTTCAGATTCCCTCTGCAGCTTGAAGTCTTATTTTCTGGGCCAGTCTGAATGATCAAGTACCTTGGCTTTTATGCTGTCCTGAATATGAACTAAACGGACTAATTTAAATAAAGAAATTTCATTTACTAAGTGTCAAGAAGCCTGACTAACTTTATGAATTTGTCTGCCTGATTTAATTTATTGAAAGAAAAAAGAAATGTGTAAATGCTGTGGCATTTTTCTCCTTCCAATCCTGCCCACCCATCATTCTTGAACTGTTCAAAACCCCAATATTCAATCCATTATGCTACCTAAAACAATGCTTTTAGTCTGGGTCTGCAAGTACCTTCAATTTTACACCCTTATTCCACAGAAGTTAAACAAAAGAGTGTGCTTATTGGGATAGAAGGAAGAATAAAGGCCTACACAAATGAAAAGAATCATGAAATCAGCAGTTTCTACATTTAAGCAATGTGGAAATGTGGAAACTATTGAGCTGAACTGAGTGCTGGCTCTTTTGATATAGCATATGTACCCAAAATTTAAAGAGGCGAGATGCAAGTTTGTCCATTTCCTGCAAAGTAATCTTTGTTACCTCCAGCATACATTTAGTGATCTTCCAACTCTCTGGAGTAAATTCTTGGGAGCTCCAACAGAGGTGTGTGCTTGGTTCAAATTCTGACCACAGAGAAGAGTTGATGGGAGACAGGTTGTTGCACTCTGCTCCATTTAAGAAGAGGACCACCAACAATGCCAGAATCTTCCCTCAAATGTGGCACAGATTATGGTTTCCTTGCAGAATTCCCAAGAGCCTTTCCCAATCTGTAAAAACACAATGCTCATTTTGTGGCAGCCTTGCTTAGCCATGGACTGTAAATGATAATTCCATAGGTAATATAACTTTTAATCACTTTTTAAAATATTTGTTAATGTAACAGGTATGTTCTATTATAATTTGTGTTGTGTTCTTGAAGTAGAAGGCAAGCTCATTTGTTATGGAAACAAGTCTGCCTGTTTTGTACACCTAGTGCCATTGGAACCTTCCATTTTTATTATTAGTGTGCATTGGATCCTTCCATTTTTTCTCTAGCAGAATTAGAAGGAATACAGCGTTCCTTCACTACTTCGCGGACTCGCTGTTTCGCAGGTTTCTGCCTCCCAGTTTATGAATGATTGCCATTGCCCACAGTGGTGTTTTAATCCTGCCTCCTGGCAATGATGGAGTGTGGAAGGGGTTTCACCCTCCCACTCGGGGGAGAGGCAGGCAATCAAGAGAGATTGCAAAACAAAGCAGAGATTGCAAGCAAAAGAAAGGTGCGTGGTGCCTTTAAATCTCTCCTCACTTCTGCCTCACCCTTGGAAAGCTATATACATATATAGCGTCCCTACTTTGCGGATTTTCACTTTTCGTGGGTCGTCCTGGAATGTAACACCCCCAATAAGTGAGGGAACACTGTAGTCACTTTTTGGTGAGCTATTCACAATTAAAATTTAAACGGGAAAATGCTCTGGAAAAAGTAAAAGATAAATATGAAGGAAAAGTACCTGTTGAGAACTTTTTACACTTTCTTGTTCTTCAGTAAGTTTTTAGTGTTTTGGTAAAGGCAGTGAAATATTTCCTTTGATGTAGGATATTTTAGACCCACCAGGATGCCTTGTTATCTTTCTGGAAGAGGCCAGTTTCAGATATTAACAGTATTCTGCCAGCTCTATAGGTATATTCTGTTAATTTGATGCAGTTGTAGGTAGAGGGTTACATGTTTATTGCTATTAAAGCTATCTGTTCTAATTGGGCGTGAACAGACTTAATCCAAACCATGCTAGTAGATATGTTATTTATTTATTTATTTATTTACTATTCTTGTATACCGCTGTATCTCAAGCCCGAGGGCAACTCACAGCGGTTTCCAGACAGCAAACAACAAAGACAATAAAAACAGCAATAATTAATATACCATAACAGTTAAATTACACATTTCCATTACTAACTAATAAACCAACATCAATACACCGTTATCACAAAACCCACCCCCGATCGCCTCATCATCCAAGCGTGATCCAAATTCGACGTCATTGTTCCGTTCCTATGTTCAAATTACCAGAATTGCACTGAATTACTCAAACCTGCACAAACATCCAGGTCTTCAACTTTCTACGGAATGTCATGAGAGATGGTGCCAGCCTAACATCTACAGGAAGGGCGTTCCACAGCCGAGGAGCCACCACCGAGAAGGCCCTATCTCTCGTCCCCGCCAACCGTGCTTGAGAGGCTGGCGGGATCGAGAGCAGGGCCTCCCCGGAAGATCTCAAAGTCCGGGTGGGTTCATAGGCCGAGATGCGGTCAGCTAGGTATCTTGGGCCGGAACCGTTTAGGGCTTTATAGGCCAGTACCAACACCTTGAATTGGGCCCGGTAGCAAATCGGCAGCCAGTGGAGCTGGTGCAACAGGGGGGTTGTGTGCTCCCTGCGCTCCGCTCCTGTTAGAATCATGGCTGCCGCGCATTGGACTAGTTGCAGCTTCCGGGCCGTCATCAGGGGCAGCCCCACGTAGAGAGCGTTGCAGTAGTCTAGGCGGGATGTGACAAGAGCGTGTACCACCGTGGCCAAGTCAGACTTCCCAAGATACGGGCGCAGCTGGCGCACGAGCCTGAGCTGTGCAAATGCTCCCCTGGTCACCGCCGAGACCTGGGGCTCCAGGCTCAGCGACGAATCCAGGGTCACACCCAAGCTGCGAACCTGTGTCTTCAGAGGGAGTGCGACCCCATCCAACACAGGCTGTAACCCTATACCCTGTTCGGCCTTGCGACTGACCAGGAGTACCTCTGTCTTGTCTGGATTCAGTTTCAATTTGTTCGCCCTCATCCAGACCGTCACAGCGGCCAAGCACCGGTTCAGGACCTCAACAGCCTCCTTAGTAGCAGGTGGAAAGGAGTGACAGAGTTGGACATCATCTGCGTACAGATGACACCGTACCCCGAAACTCCGGATGATCTCACCCAGCGGCTTCATGTAGATGTTAAACAGCATGGGAGACAGAATAGAACCCTGAGGAACCCCACAAGACAATGGTTGTGGGGATGAACAGGTGTCCCCCAATAACACCTTCTGGGAGCGACCCTCCAGAAATGACCGTAGCCACTGCAGAACAGTGCCTCCGACCCATCCCCGCGAGGCGGCCCAGAAGGATACCGTGGTCGACGGTATCGAAGGCCGCTGAGAGGTCCAGCAGCACCAGCAGGGACACACTCCCCCTGTCGAGCTCCCGGCGCAGATCATCCACTAAGGCGACCAAGACTGTCTCGGTTCCATGTCCCGGTCTAAAGCCAGACTGTGCCGGATCCAGATAATCCATGTCTTCCAAGAATACCTGGAGTTGTGAGGCCACCACACGTTCCAGGACTTTGCCCAAAAAGGGGAGATTGGAAACTGGCTGAAAGTTGTTGAATTGAGTGGGGTCCAGTGATGGTTTTTTCAACAGCGGTTTTATTACAGCTTGTTTTAAGCTGGCTGGAATTTTGCCTTCCCGAAGGGAGGCATTAACCACCACCTTCACCCACTCGGCCAATCCCCCTCTGGCCTCTTTTAGAAGCCAGGATGGGCAGGGGTCTAGGATGCATGTGGTAGCTCTCATTCCTCCAAGCACCTTGTCCACATCCTCGGATTGAACCAATTGAAAAGAATCCATCAAAATCGGACAAGCAGGTGCTCTTGTTACATCCACAGAGACTGCATTTAACATGGTATCCAGACCAGAACGGATCAAAGCGACTTTGTCTGCGAAGAACCGAGCAAAAGCTTCACAGCGAGAGGTCGAGTTGTCAGGGATCCCACCTTGGGTGGTGGGATTCAAAAGGCCTCTGACAATCCGAAACAACTCAGCCGGATGGTTCTTTGCAGACGCAATAGTGGCTGCAAAGAACGCCTTTTTTGCGGCTTTTATTGCCGCGGCATATGCCCTCAGAAAGGACACAAACCCTGTTCGATTTGGCTCGCTCGGGTCCGAACGCCACACACTCTCTAGTTCCCTCTTCCTTCACTTCATCACTGCCAGCTCCTCAGTGAACCAAGGCGCTGGTTTAGCTCGGCTACTTGAGAGGGGACGTTCCGGAGCGATCGTGTCAATCGCCCTAGTCATCTCCCCATTCCAGAGAGCAACCAGGGCGTCGACAGGGTCACCTACCGAGGCGGCGGGAAACTCCCCAAGAGCCGTCAGGAATCCATCCGGATCCATAAGCCTCCTGGGGCGGACCATCCTAATAGGTCCTCCACCTCTGCAGAGGTTAGGGGGTGCAGTGAGCCTAAATCTGACCAGGTAGTGGTCGGTCCATGGCAACGGAGAGATGGTCAACTCCTCAACACCGCCACCTTCCTCCCATCCCTGGCAGAAAACTAAGTCCAATGTATGTCCTGCACTGTGAGTGGGGCCAGTTACTTGTTGGGACAGCCCCATGGTTGCCATGGCAGACATGAAGTCCTGAGCCGCTCCAGAAAGGGCCGTCTCGGCGTGGACATTGAAGTCCCCCAGCACAAGGAGCTGCTGGGACTCCAACGCCAGGCTCGAGACCACCCCCGCTAGCTCAGGTAGGGAGACTGTAGTGCAGCGAGGTGGACGGTACACTACCAGAATCCCTATTCTGCTTACACTTTTTTTAAAAAAAATTGTAGGAACATCAGACATTTTCAAATGCCAAATAAAGTTGATCCTTCATTTTCACATCTTCATTTCCTAGCTTCCAAATAGTTTAGATAACTCTATTCCCTAGTCCCATCTCACTCCTTTTTCCAAAAAATAAAATAAAAAGGCATCCGGAACCTATTCAGCAATTACTAACAAAAAGCATTACTGAGTTCTTCAGAGTGTCTCTATGCACCTTATACTGTTGTGTCTTTTCTGTGGTCAGAAATAGCTAACCTTTTCAAGGCATAGGTAAACCCCCCTAAAACATACCAACTGATTCTCTGTAAATTGCTTAGAAACTATTGAAAGGTACAAACCCCTTTAAAACACTGTTTGCAGAGCTGTTATTGAAACCCTAGTGATGGCTATCTTGGGATGGTCAACATACAATCAGAATCTGCAATAAATGTGGACTTAATGAATAGACTGTTTGGACAGAGGATAAATTGGCATCGTATTACAGCAAGGCTGGG